AATTGGTTAAAATAGAATGTAGGTTATATACCACTAAGTGAATGAAGTTAGGTAAAAACAGTTATATACAATATAAATTACCAATAGCATGTAAAAATGCTATTAAATACAGGGGACTTTAAAAACCAACTTTCAGAGTTTTTATGATACATTTATGAAACTTGCAGTATTTACTTATAATATCTTTAAAAAGCTGTATACAAAATTTCATGTAATTTGAATGATAAATTTTAAAGTTATTGAACTTTTAAAATTTTAAAATAGCATGAAATCCGATAAAGTCAAAATACTCCATGGGGTACAAAATTCATTGCAGAATCATACTTTTTTTTATATGACTCGTTTTTGACTTCCAAATAAAAGTTACCATCATTCAGTGGCAAATTATAGTGCTCTAGCTCAAAAAACACACTTTTTATGTATCTCATGAAAATTTCTGGAAAAATTTAAAAAATCTTGAACTTTTTTTACTATAAACAAATTTTATCAATGTTCTAGGTAACAAAACATGGTAAGTTTTAATTACATACATACATAGTACACATAAAACAAGTTTCAAACAAAAAAACTAAAAATTGAGACAAATGGAGCATTTCGAAAACACAAAAATCCGTCAAAATTTTATTTCGAGAAAATAGCAATTTTTAAAATGTATTTAAAATAACACTATTAGTTGTGTATAATATCTAAAAAATGACTAATTAAGCATATATCTGTACTTTTATCTCCATTATTAGGTTGAAATGGATGAAAATTCAATTCAATATGTGCCTATGAAAAAAAATACACAAACGTACTCAGCAAGCATATTTACTTATTCAAAATTTAACGCAAGTAAATTCACTAAAGTAATAACATAAAATAAGTTAGTAAGCATGAAATTAATTTATTTTAAAGAATATGAATGATATATCAACCCAAAAATGAAACATTGATTCAAATGTAAAAACTAATTGTGTGTGATATGTATAATATAGAAGTGTCAAATATAGAAAATTTTTTTAAAATCCTCCCGCACAATAGGAGGGTCCTTCTACTCTTACATAATTTTGATTGTCACTAATTTTCTTGTATTTTTTCACATTTCGTTCATGCTTATATTGCTCACATGACTTACGCTTCCTTTGGTAAGCCCGTCGGGAATCTTGCCGCTCAGCGATTCTTATTGAGTTTTCTCTATCACTTTTATCACTTATTTTCAGGCTTTCTACATATCCTAAATTGTACTCGCTGACAGCTGCTGAAATTGCCAGCTCCAGCCTCTTTTTTGACACAAACACCTCTTTTGGGCATTTGCGCCAAATGCAGCTGTGGATGCTTTCATTGGCGTTCTGCGTGCTTGCAGACGTACATCGAGAAAGCGTCTCATCCGAGGCAAGTCGCTGATATACAGGGGTAATTTTCTCAACAACTTCATCCGAAAGATAGGTTTTCATTGACTGATGTGATTTGGGTTTTTCATTTAAGGCTAGTGCCCTTTTGAAAAAACACCAAGAATGTTCTCCGTCAGGGCAATTATGGTGCTGGGGCTTGGTGTCAGTGGACTTGCAATGGCAGAGTGTTGCATAAATTGCCTTCTTCATCAAAGTTATATTTAGAGCATTACACACAATTGCTTTTCTAAAATAATTTTGAAACTTCTTTATATTAGCCTCAGTAAGTTGCCCCTTTTTTCTTCCACCAAGAGTCACTTACTTTGTTCTCCATTCTTTCACCTTGTTTCGCAAGGCAGTTCCAAGTCTTTTAGCAACGTGATTCACACAGTTCTCTTTTTTTATTTCAACGCCACTGCCGTACACTTTTTGTGCAGTTAGGTACTGGTGAGTTTTGGCATCACCATCAGACAGCACAGTTGTATACCGCATGTTACACTCAGCTTCAGAACGATTCCACAAAATCAAGGCAGCCTCCATTTCCATGCTTCCCGATGAACCTTGAAAGTTTTTTTGGCACACAGATTCATGCGGTATAGATTCAGAATTTATTCCTAGATCTTTTGCTGTCATTGTGCAATCATGGCAATATTTTGACAGCAGTTCATAGTCTATTACTAGTCCAATCAAAATGTCAATAACAAGGCCTATACCATAGAGAGAAGTATGGCCTCGTTTATGCCATGTTCCATCATACGAAACATTGATGTCTAAGGTATCACCCGGGGACAAGTTTGAATTCGATTCCAAATGTTTGCTTCTCACAGTTTCTCTAGAAACACGCAGCATTTCTGATTTCGTCAGAACGTTTTTCTCGGCAAGACTATCCAAGCATCTAGAGAATACTTTTTTGTCCATCGTAGGCATTCCTAAAATAGAAGAAAATGTCTCCATTGCTGCATACCCTTTTCCGATAGACAGGAATGCAGATACCATTTTGCAATTAACGTCAAACTTCTTACTGGAAGTTTCCCTCTCACTAGTGAAAGTTGAGCCAAAACTTTTACAGCAGCTTTCACATTTGAGCTCAAATTTTGATGCATACCCATATGTAATATGCTCTTCAATTTTTAGATTACATTTATTGCAGTCACTGCAATTCACATTTTTTTAAAGTGTGCTAAGAGAAGATAAATTTATAATATTGTACTGTGAGGTACTACTCTGAACATTCCCTTGTGTTTCCAGAGATGAAGAACATTCTGCCATGCAGTTCAACTGTGGCGAATCAGCAACAGAAAAACCAACAGTTTCGTTTTCACTTGTTTTCTTTGCCCACCTTAGTTTTGCATTTTCAAAACCGGCCCACTTCTTTCTACTCATCCTAACTTTCGGTTTTCTCCACTTGGAAGAAATAGAATCCATGATTCAATAAAAACATCAAATAAAACAACTCAAAAACGTAATAAAAACAAATAAAAACCTAACAAAAACAACTAAAAACCTAACAAAAACAATTTAAGAAGAATAATAGCTTTGTAAAAAGCTGTTTGTTGTAGAAATAACGAAAAAAGAGCAATATCGACAATAAAAATAAACGAAAGCATTAAATAATCAATCAATCAGCTAAGTAACTGTGTTGCCAATAATATTTACAGAAGAACCCTTCTGAAATGAATAATATAAAGCTCTTTTAGCTTAAAACGAAACTAAAAAAAATCGGCTGCTTCAAACTACCGACTTCTGTTTTCTNTTTGGTTAATGGTATACGACTAACCCCCCCCTTGCGTACGCCCCTGCTTGTGTTTCCAGAGATGAAGAACATTCTGCCATGCAGTTCAACTGTGGCGAATCATTCGTTTTCACTTGTTTTCTTTGCCCACCTTAGTTTTGCATTTTCAAAACCGGCCCGCTTCTTTCTACTCATCCTACCTTTCGGTTTTCTCCACTTGGAAGAAATAGAATCCATGATTCAATAAAAACAACAAATAAAACAACTCAAAAACGTAATAAAAACAATTAAAAACCTAACAAAAACAATTAAAAACCTAACAAAAACAATTTAAGAAGAATAATAACTTTGAAAAAAGCTGTTTGTTGTAGAAATAACGAAAAAAGAGCAATATCGACAATAAAAATAAACGAAAGCATTAAATAATCAATCAATCAGCTAAGTAACTGTGTTGCCAATAATATTTACAGAAGAACCCTTCTGAAATGAATAATATAAAGCTCTTTTAGCTTAAAACGAAACTAAAAAAAATCGGCTGCTTCAAACTACCGACTTCTGTTTTCTGAATGTAAACAAAGGGGCGTGGCCTAATTAAAATCCTCATATCTCAGTAAAAAAGGGTTCGATTTCCAAATTTTTTGTTTTTGTTTGAAAGCATATGTCTATTTTCTGAAAAAATAAAAATCTCAAAATCGAAATTTTGGTCACTTTTTTCAAATTTGAAGGTCCCCTGTACCCTTGGGCTTCATCCACCAAATCTTTTATTAATAAAATAGAGCTTTCATAAAAGGTAAGGCGATACTGGTAAAAACATGAACAAATTATTATAAAATGTGATGAATCGTGAACAAAATCTTTGCATTTGAGAGGAGCTTCCCCAAACAGCAAATGAAGATGAGTAAGTTGAATATATCCCATTCGTAAGGGAGTGAGCTTGTCATCTGCCCTGCGTACGTGCATTACAGGCCAAGGTTCCGAGGTAGGTTTAACAGAATGTAATTTGTTTTCGCTTAGAAGGTCCCAAGTGTTGCTACCATAAACATCGATCAAATTTGCGTATTTAGTTTTTGAAGTCAGAAAATGGTATTGATAAGGTTTATCTAGTTGAGGCAAATAGTGGAGCAGAGTCAGCCTTGTCCTTTCCGTATAATACTTACCACACTGGAAATGCAGAAAAATAAAATTTTAAAACTCTTCTTGTACAGAGATGTCAATATATGTTGATTAAAAATTAAAATCGGATGAGCTTCGTTTCTTTACATGTCCCAGCTGCCGCTGTACGCTCAAACTCTCCGAGTAAAAACAAAATAATTTTAGCTCGGAATGAAAAGAAATTAGTCGTAAAGCTATAAAGGGATGGCAACTGCTTCCGCGGAAAAAACAGAAGAAATTGCAGGAATGCCGTAGCCACAAGTAAGATCAGCCACAACAATCCCACAACCAACAATGTCCAGGGGATTTAGATCCGTTTGTAAAATCTGTATTGCATTGGGGAGGAGGTTCACCGAACAGCAGATGAAGATGAGCTAGTCTAGTGTGGCCAATTCGGAGACGGGTGAGCTTGACATGTGCACTACGGAAACACAACACAGGCAATGGATTCAAATAAATTATTTCAGCGATTTCAGAATAAACGTTCGATTCAAGAGTTCCTGGTGAGATCCGCTAAACATAAAGTGGTAATAGCCTAATCTTCAAAGCAAGAGCTACTTTTCTATTTTTGTTAGAACCATTTGTAATCAAATAGATTTTGCTACATCTTTAGCAAATTGATTGGATCTCTGAACAGGAGAGGTTAGCATGCAAGGGCTTAAATAAAAAGCCAAATGTTATTTCCCAACTAATATGAGATGTTGAGAATGTTTTATGATTACAAATTGAATTTTTGTTTTCAGACCTATGTAGCTGATATATTTATGTCCCAAAGTTGGAAAGACTACAGATTAAGGTTACCTGAAAATATGACAATGAAGTATCGGCTGCTACCTGTGAACTGGCTGAAACGTATGTGGAGGCCAGACTCTTTTTTCAAAAACGCTAAAAGAGTCACTTTCCAAGAAATGACCATTCCTAACCACTATATTTGGTTGTATAGCGACAAAACAATTTTGTACATGGTAAAGTAAGTAGTATATACATTTTTATGAAAATATTTATGTTGCATTAATGGCAATATTGGTTTCCTAATATACAACGTAAACTTATATGTAACGAAAATCTCAATAATATGTATTATTCTTCCTTTTTTTATTTAAAACTATTATAATGCAATAATATGCAGAAAAATTTAACCATAAACACTTAAAAAATTATTCTATTACAACAGTATTTAGAAAACTTCAACCATAAACACTCAAAAAATTTCTTTGATTATGAATTTTTAAAACGATAATAGTTACCCTTCTACGCTCTTAAACTTTAATATTTGCATTATTTCTGGATCACTCGAATAATTGTTGCTTTGTATTAATATGTACAAACAATTTAGGACTTTTCTAGCAACACCACTGCAATCCAAGATCCAATCACGTTTATAAATCTTTACTATATGAAAACGTAAATAAAAAATGAAACAACTAAATAACTTTTGATCTACTTGTCGTATAATCCCGTACTAAGAAGTAATATTAATCGTTTAAAAGGATAACCTTTCAATTTGCTAATTGATTAGCATAGGCGGTATGTTAATCCATTTTTTGCTAAAGGTGCTTAAACGCACCATTTCAGTTTATATATTTTAAAATCACTGTGACACATAATTTTATTTTTTAACTATTTTGAAGGATTCTGAAGACATCTATGAAATATTAGCGTTTTAATTAGAATAAACACTTTTTGTTAGAATAAACACTTTCTGTTCTAGGCTCGTTTTTTTTCCCAACCTGAAACAGTTATTGACAAATTCGACTTTTTGAAAATGTATAATTATTCCATTAAAGATTAATCATATCTTTTTATGATAGACTAAAGTTGCAAGTTACGTAAATAAAATAAAACAGTCATAAAGAAACTAATGTTCAACAAAATGATTTATCCATTGATTTGGTTAATGGTATACGAAATCAGCATTTTATTTCTAAAATATAATATTATTTTTCTTGAATAAAACTTTTCTAGCGTTTTAATCAATATAATTAAAGCATATTTCAATGAAAATTATGTCACATTTTAAAAAATATTTTAGGTTATAATAAATGGGCTAAGTTACAAAATCAGATGTTTACTGTTTTGCTTTTAATATTTTTGATCGAATCAAATTTTTTTATATAAATCATGGATTTATGCTATTTGGTATTACTTACTAAACGTCATAAAAATATAACACTGAAACTCATTCAGAAATTATAATTATATAATGAGAACAGAAACGTGTATTCAAGAAACTAGTTTGAGAAAAGTATTTTTTAACAGTTTTAAAAAATAATGCATTTAGAACATCGATGCACTTTTCAGATATCCCGAACAATTCAGAATATTTTTTTAATATTTATGAAACCGTTTTGTTTCTTTCTACAATTTTGAAATGCCAGTAATAAAAACAAATAGTATACCCTCTCCAGACTGATTTAACCGAACTGTTTGAAAAAAATATCAAATATTTGACCATCAAACAAAAAGAAAAATTGAAGAACTACAATCTCTCTTACGTATAAGAACTTAAATTTCACATAAAATATTTTCCTACATTTCAAGCTATTTAAGTTTTCAACGAGTAGAGAAAAAGTTTTCTGTATTGGTACACTTTTTTTCCATTCCTTTTTAGAAGTGCCTGTGGAAGAACTCAGAAATTTCGGACCAGTTTTTTTTTACTTCAAGGAACGCCTTTTTTTTTTATCTTATTCTTATCTGGTTTTTTTTATGTCCTCAATCCGTTTAGCTTAAAGCTCACATGGGACAAAAAGGGAAAAAGAGTCCAGTTCCGAAGTTCTTTTGAGATTTTGTGATATACTTTCAAACGAATACAAATAAATGCTTCAGTTAATTCGTTCTTTTTCCGGCTATTTGAATAGATGATAATATACTTGTTAACGTGGTCACTACTTTGAAGAAATTATATTGTTGCTATTTGTTCTTTCTCCGCGTATTTGAATAGGACGATACTTGTTAACGTGGTCACTACTTTGAAGAAATTATATTGTTGCTATTTGTTCTTTTTCCGGGTATTTGAATAGGAATATAATACACTTGTTAACGTGGTCACTACTTTGAAGAAATTATATTGTTACTATTTGTTCTTTTTCCGGATATTTGAATAGGATGATAATATACTTGTTGACGTGGTCACTACTTTGAAGAAATTATATTGTTACTATTTGTTCTTTTTCCGAGTATTTGAATAGGAATATAATACACTTGTTGACGTGGTCACTACTTTGAAGAAATTATATTGTTACTATATGGAGCATGAAAATAATTTGAGATGTTTTAGTGAAAAATTTTCAGTAATGCGTCAAAATTCTAGAGTTGTTACTGGAAAAAAAAACTTAATACCTAGTAGATCCTCATGATCAAAGCAAAATTTTAAATACACAAATTTCAATATAAGCAATCGATTTTTCATATTAATCGAAATACTTTGTTATCTAGTCTCTTTCAGAAAGAGATAATGCATTGATAACTACCACATCTTATAAAGGACAAAGCATTTAATGCAAGTGTGGTATCAGGTTAAATTTGGTAACTAATCAACTAAAATATATCCTATCATTTTTAATCAAAAACTTACTACTAGTCTTTAACTTGACTGTTACCTCTTATTTCGAAATTCAAATAATTCGAACTCTAATAGGTTTATTTTTTTAAAATTTTTTTTTACTTTTATTGTTAATGCACTTTAAATAGCAGAGGTCGTAACTGTCCTAAATTTTTGTAAATATTTGAAAAAAAATGATCCTATCTTTTTCTTATCTTACTTTTTTTACCCATTTATTAATAAAAGCCTCCTATTGCGCTGGGGTTGCCTTATGTTCGACAGAAAACCCTATCATTTGAAAACCATCGACGTCATTTTGCAATACACTAACAGGTTAATTAGAAATGTCTGCAGTATTTTCTTATCAGTCAAACACTTTTAGGGTATTTGCAATAAGCTCAAATACTACTTTTTAGCAAATAAAAAATTACATCATTCGTTGCTCAGTTAACCTAATTTATTTCAGCTCTTTTGCTATGAATGCAGATACTTTTAGGCTACATAGAAAATTGATCATTCATTGCTGAATTAGTTGAAACGGCTGATTACTTATACTTCTATATTTAAAGCATCGGCACAATACAAGGGTAACGGTATTAAGGATTGTAATGTGCCGACTAAATTATAAATTTTTTAATTAACCTAAAGTTTTATGAATTAATTATAATAATCCTGAAAAATATTGAACTGAATAGAAAGTGATACAGACTTTTTAAACTTGTTTGCACACTGTCGTCGGCAATTGCAAAAAGTTTGATTTTTTAATTAGCCTGAGGCATACTTTTCCTTTAAATTAATAGTAGATATTACAGGGTGTCCACAGTTGAGCGGAGGATTTGTACGATGAACCGATTTGATAGAAAGTGCAATCTGAATAAAATTTCCAGCGAAGGACTGGTTGATTTCAAAATTGAAAATCTCGAAAACAAAAGGCAATAAATTAATGAAAACAGCTGTATGTTTATTGTGAAAGCTGTAAAAGCTATAAACAAAAATTTTAGAATTTAGTTACAAGGGTTGCCGAGAGATGGCGCTTCAAACCATCTATAGGCAGAGCATTTAATTCTAACGTTAAAACACAAAAGGAGTTTGTCATACAGGATTGAGAGGATTGAGCCGTACATTCTATTAAACAACATGTAAAAAATTAATTAATAGATTGATAGTCTTATATGGCAATTGTATTTTTTTTTTTAAAATTCTGTACAGTGTACAGCGCTATTTGTTGGCAACTTTTGTAATTTGATTCCAAAATTTCAGCGTAAACTTCTTACAGTTTTCACATTATATATACCGTTTATTTCTTTCCTCTATCGTTCTTTATTACAGATATTCTTAATTTTTAAATCAGTCTATCTTTCGCAGTATATTTTGTATTATTTTATTACCGGTTTTGAACTAATTTTTTTTTCGATTGTGTTTATGACTATCAATCGTTTAACTCTATAGCCTCGTAATTTTGAGCCCAACCCAGAAAAAAATTAAACTTCTAGATCGACATAGATTAGATACCACGATTAGCTCGACAGAAAGATGATTCTAATCGATGATCCATGTACTACTAAGTCTGTACTACTACGTCAGCACTGCAGTTGATTTAAAGCCTGTAGCTGAATTCATATCGGCCAGCCATCGCTAAGATTCGAACCTGAATTGCCTAATTAGTAAGAGGAGACCGTTCTATCTACTTAGCCACTGCTTCTCTAATATTAGGATTTGGAGATTTTCTGCAAAATTTGGATACATATTTTTATGTTTTCAACTACCATGCATTGATAGTATATCGAATTATCTCAGCATGAATTACGCATACATATTAATAACTCATACTAAAAAAAATTTACAGGTTATTCATATTTTTAATGAAAAGTTTCCACAGTTACTCCGAATTTCGATTTATTTTCAGATTAACGCTGCTGTTATCTTGCTCCATGAAATTCGAAGCTTATCCACATGACACACAAGTTTGTTCAATGAAGATAGAAAGTTGTAAGTAGTTGATTTAGTGTTTAAAAATCGCGTTTTTTTTCAGAACATTTTTTTTAATTTCCTAAGAGCTGCACAATCAGTCTTCCCGATCCGCAGACCTAGTGCGTTCTCCAGAAATAGTATCCACTCTTTCAGAACCCCCACAATGGATGAGATACCGTTGGCCATGTTAATTTGGACTTCCAGTTTCTGCCACACTAGATGGCAGCACAGAGACTCTTATTTGGATGCTAAAGTGCACTAGGAATTTAATTTTGCCGGAAATGCCAAGAGCGAATAAGGCACTCTAGGGGATCTTTTACATGTACGACATGGCCGCTGAGGATTTTCTGCATCCCGAAAATCCTCAGAACATTGAGCCGTTCATAAACAACCTAATTACGTCTTTTGCATAGCGCTTATCTTCATATATGAAGAGCTTGGAACAATGTAAGGATCCATATTTAATTTTATCTGCACTAAATACATTAAAAGTCGGAAACAAAAAGTTGTTTTTATATGAAAAACACCCCAGGAAAAAAGTGTCAGTAAATGATTTAAATACCACTTGATTTCCACGGTGGACATGACCGCGTGGTAGTAATTACGCCAAGCTAGAATAATTCGCATTTAGTTTGTGGTATCTATATCTCCGCGATTGTTTTCAATACATAATCCCAAATAAACTTTATAACAATGAACTTTCATTCATTCAACTTTTAATAAACAAAGGAGGACATGCTGACAAAATTGGAAATGCTGGTGGCTAACAGATTAAGCTTTTTAAAATTTATATTTTGATAGTATGTTAGTGCAATGTGGTTTTTTCTAAATTAACACAATAACGCCCAATTTATTGTACTTCAATAATGGGACTTCAATATTGTACTTCAATAAGAGTAATACATAAGCATCGGTATTTCTTACGTTAGCTGCCACATATATTACTTAATATAAAATTTAAAATTTGCACTTCATATTTTTAGGTCTAAATCAAAAGCTTTATATTCCAAATATACTATAGTGAAAAAAACTGCCGTATTTTATGAAGTTAGTAATAGAATATTTGATCCATCATTTTTTTGCTTTTTTAAATATTAATATTTCTTTAATTATATTAATGATATAATAAATAATAATATAATTAATATTTGTCAAAAAAATGGTGCTGGGTGCTAACAAGTTCAATTGAAATAAAACATTCTTTTAAACTAAATGTAAGTAAGCTGCAATTTTCGTAAAGGAAAAACAAGTAAACATGTTAAAACTTTTCGTCATTCCTTAAATATTAAATAAGAATAATTTATGCAAATGATGACTCTTTGTTTAGCCTTACACATATTTTACAGATATATGCTGTCAGAGATTTCAAAATAAAGGGAAATAATGTTCTAATAATAACATTGTTCGCAAAATTTCCTAAAAGCTTGAAACTCAAGGCTGACATATTATTTAGGAATGTAATGAGTCAGCTTTCTCTAATGAATTATAAAATCTGAATTACGAAATCAGTAGTACTAGAGATATTCCTCGTCATTCACTCTTTGCATTTGTAATATTATGCATACATTTAATGATCCTTTTCAAATGCAATATCGCATGCATAAGCTCGATAAAAGTACTTCTGGCGATAATGCTCCACCGATATCTGCCGTAAGAGCTAACAATTTCAAATTTCAACCAATCAATGGATTGTCGAAATCGGTGACGCTTAACGATATGCTTCAAGTTACAGACGAATGTGAAGGAGACACTTAACAAATTTAAAGGTTTAATACAAAATATTTTTTGGTATTTAGAGTAAGTGTCACGATTCTTATTAAAATTAAGAATTAATTGTTCGAATAAATAAAAATATCTATTCGAAAAAAAAATCCATTTAATTTATTACTTTTCTTTATTATGTATGGTAATCGGTTTTTAGTTAAATACGGTAAAATTAATTATTTTAAAAAAGAATGGCGTATCAAATATTTTTTTCCTAACTATCGGTATTTTGTTTGAGGTGAAAATATATAAAGATGATGTTATTTGTATTAATAAGAGTTATCTACTAGTGTTAAAAAATAGAATTTATGCTTTTGAATAGTGAAAGAAATACTGAAATACACATACCGAATGTTTTATTAATTGAAATTTATTGTTTCAAGTAGGATATACTTGTATCAACTTCTTTATATCTTATAATTGCTCCCGGATGCCCCGTCAGGGAGCACCCCTTAAGCTTTAATATATTGTATTAGTTTTATGTTTTTACAAAAGGAAGTTTTTTTTCTGTTGAGAGAATAAAGTGGTAGCACAACTGTTTTATCATTAGATTTCATTTAGAACAGAAAATAGTTCTATCAACTACAATACATTAAAAATAAAAATGTTAATATTTGAATCTGAAATTTTAGTATATATTTCCTTTTTAGTTAAGTGAAAGGTAAGTAATATTTACTTGGTTTGGTATAACAAATATGTACTAATATTGATGGATTCATGACAATTATTGCAAAATTTCTGCACTAATAATAATTTATTATTCAAGTAGCCCTTAGTTAGAGTTACTTGGAGAAAACTACCTATATAAAAAATAGTAAGATGTCTGTGATTAAACAAAGTGGCTACTTCCTAATATCAGCAGTCACTTTTTATAATAATAATTTACTAATATAGATGAACGCCTCAATTTTTAAAAATTAAATGATTAAAATGCAACTCCTTAACTTTTTAAAAAATACATGTTTACAAAATGCAATGGGTTACAACAATAGATTAATAGTAGAGGAAAAGGTGTAAATATGGGCACCCTCTTTTGTTTTTTGGATAAAGTTACTTTCAATTTGAAAATTTCTAGATTTTTATCTTTCATTAACAACTATAACAAGTTTCCTAAATTCGAGAAGGCAAAACAATGATTAACATCAATTATTTCATTTCAAAAACGACGATTTTCAAAAATCTTTTAAAAAAGCACCAGAAAAAATGGGGTGTAAATATGGGCCCTCTTCAAAAAAGTCACCAAAAATTGTTTAAAAACAGGATAAAACAATACAAAATGGTAGAGAATTTATTTATAACAGGAAAAAAAATTATTTACAGAAATCGCAAGCATAACTGACTCTTTCACCCCCGGCACAGTGCCCACATTTGGCACATAACGCATCTTACCCACACCTCTCCTCGAGTGTCTTCAGAGAACTTTCCATCACAAAAACTGCAAGTTGCATCGCTTGAGTCTGGTTTATCCCCACCGTTGACATTTATCAGATTCGTATCATCATCGCTGTAGATAAGAGGAGGGTCATTGAGTCCGATGATGAATCGTATCGTTGCGTGGGCCGAATTTTCTTTTTTTGAAGGCCTTTCGTCCTCCCATCCTGCCCTCTGGCCGGTCTCTTACCCCGGGAAAACTCAAGGACGTCTTCTTGAGAGCACTTGTCAAGCGTCTTGGTCAACTGATCCTTGTATGGTAATCCGGTGATGAGGCTGGACCTTGCGTCCACGAGTAGTGGTTATCTTCTTAATGTTGGGAACAGGAGATATGTTGAACGGAGAAATTGCACTTGAAGTTCCCGGGGAACATTGAGGTATTTCAGCTGCCTTATCAATTGGCATAACTAGAGCCTGATGTGCTAAACGCCACTAAAAAAAAGTTGGTGTAATTATGGGCACCCTTTAAATGGGGGCCCATATTTACACCAACCCCACCTAAGAAGGATGGCCACTATCGCAAGTAACCTAAAAGCGTGCGTGACTAAAGGTGTGCTTCAAAAAATAGCTTAAGATCTCCGCTTTCCGGATATCAGTGTCAAATTATTTTTAACTGAACATAAGTACATGAAAAGAAAACGATTTCACATACCTCTCAAAAGTTTGCAGTCCAGAATAAACACCAATTTGCACAATAACTCACGCTGCATCCACACTACTTGAAAAAATGGTTTCAGCTGCTCTGTACAATCTTATATTAGCAACTGAGGCGCCATATACAGTCCTTGCCGCCAGTCTTCAGTACCTCCCATAGCTACTAGGGAGGGGTGCCCATATTTACACCTGTGCCCATTTTTACACCTTCTCCTCTATAGGTAGACTGTCTCCCCCCGCGGAAACTAACAACCCTATAACGTGACTCGTTGACCAGTTCACTCTCCTTTAACCTCTTAACGATCGGTTAATTTTCAAGAAAGCGGTCATAAAAGTGCCTATTTTTTTGACATCTAGTTTAAAATAAACTGACATTAGGTTTAAAATAAACTATCTACAATTACCTTAAAAATATCCTGGTACTGCCATCTGGTGTGTAAAATGAGAAATAAAATGTTTTCTGGGAAAAGGAAATGAATTAGTTTTATACTTACTGGCGCGTTACTACTAAACACTCCAGCCCGGAAATGTCACGGCAGCGAGAAATAGAGGGCGAAACCTCACCCCGTCATTTTGAAGGGAGCGAGAAGGAAGGGGCTAAGAAACTTTTCATTTTTCATAATTTCCTTAATTTATAATAAGCTAATGAAACTAAGTGCTAGGTTTTTTATCTCTAATTTCTTAAATCATTACAAATTATTGGATCCAAATATAATGATTATTTATAACCATTAAATTACGTAAGTAATTCAATTGTTCTTGGCTGTAAAGAATGGGAACTATGGGTGTTAGTGTTTATTTTATTTCAGTTTTTAAAGTTAGCTGCGGCAATATGAGTTTAGTTAAATAAACATTCAACTTAAAATTATTCATCCTATTTTGTTTATGTTGTAACATATTGAAATAAATAATTTCATTCGTTGCAGTTATAATAATTAAATAATAAATAAATTTTTGCTAAAAAAAATTGTTGCTCAATTAAGAAATACAAATATGTAATACAATATAAATACATTTATTTACTGAAATTATAAATAAATACAGTTTTAATTTAATTAGACTTTTAATTCATAAACTTTTTATAAAAATCATTAACTGAATTTATATTATTAAATAATTAAACATATTTGTGTGTAGATCTCTGTAAGTAGCAAATTCTTGAACTATGG